CTCCTCTGCCAGACTTCTGCAGTTGCTAATCATTGTCTCTCTTGCCTCTACCCTCGGAGCAAAACAGCCAGAGAAAGAGGGTAGCTCTCACTTCAGTTCTGTAAATCCATTGCTGGACTTTTTATCCATGCTGATTGCACTTGATTTCTCTCCTACTTTTCTCCCCACTTGACCTTGTGATTACCTCCTAACTGGCTCTTCCACAGGGGCATCTTCAAGAGCAGGAGTACCCTCAACCACAGAAATGACTTGAAACTAGAACCTGTAAAACAGACAGGCTCCCCTCATTTCACATGTGCTGCATGGATGCAGTGACCACTGAATCACAGAGATTCACCACCATTTTTCTTACTGAACTTTGTGCTTTGTGTGATGCCTGATATGGAAGGTGTGCTCTGAAAATGCATGTCAGGTCAGGCCTGGAAGCAGAGGTTAACATTTTGTTTGCAAATCCCAAAAGAGCTTAGATGTGATTTAGGTGCTTGGAGGCTCACACGGTTAAGACCTTGGCAAGTTCAGGGGCAATATTTAGGAATTTTCCTGGCAGGGAAATAGGTACCTCCAGGCATATGCAGCAGCTCAATGGGAATGCAAATGGTGCTGCTGAGAAGTACAGTGGCAGGTAAGTGGTGCTAGGTGAGCAAACCTATTTGTGAATCTAGTCCAAATCCACTGCATGTAAATAAGGATAATATCTGAACAGTGATCTGAGGAGGTATGGACTTGAAAAGAAGGAGGCAAATAAAACCAGGAGAAATCTAATGGAAAAGAAAAAAAAAATCTATTTAGTGAGCTCATCCGGTGAGGATTACGTAGCAATATTTAATCCTCTGCGAAAAATCAGACCCTCTGAACTTGTAGTTTACCTTTAGTTACAAAGAAGGGTGGTTATAATATGACTGTCAGAGTCGATCCTGTCCTGAGGGTAAGCTGAACTCTTATGCTGTGTTTATGTAAAAACACAAGTGCTTTTTTTCCTCCCTCCAACCTTGATGCATAGAATTGCTATGAGTTGCAAGCAGGCTAATTAATCTGGTCTGTGCCTGCTCATCAAAGCTTTCTTGTGGTAAGAGCATCTCTAGTCATTTTAAGTGAAAATTATTTCATTTTGGAGAGAATTGCCTTGTGTTTCAGATTTGGGGTTATCCAACAGGATAATATAAAGGCACCCTGCTGCATGCTGCCCACTCAAGGGCCAGAAGCAGTGCCTTCCCTACTCATTTGGCACCAGGCATGCAGATGGATGCAACCACAGAACCTTACGGGAGCTCAGCCCTGTTCATTTCATCTCTCACGACTGCATTGATGCTGTCCTGGTTACACCTTACAGGCTACTTCAGCTTGGCTGCCCTGAGAGCACTCTGTGTGCCTGCAACTTCCCTTCTCTCCATTGCCCTCGCTGAGGCTCAGTCCAGTCCAGCTGGACACCCTTCTCAAAGGTCCTTAGAGTTTTGGCTGATGCAGCCAGCTGCTGTTATAAGTCCTGTAGTAGTAATGTTGCACTTTATAGCTGAATCTGGACAAAACACTTTGTATCATCCATTCGTAGAATCTAAGCTGCCTTAACTGTTGTTAGCAAAACATGTTTTTCTTCTTGGCCTGTATTTTCTTTTGTGTGGCATCTACATTTTGATGTGGAGATCTTTTAGCATGCAAATGCATCTAACCTCAGCAGAATGGTTCATGTTGAATGCAATATGTTTGTGCTTTGGTATTCTGGAAGAGAGCAGATTTTCCCCATGATGTATAGATGGATTCACCTTAACCCCAAAAATGGGTGCTATTGTTGTTGCTTTTCTCTTCACACTGTAAAAGAAACAGAAGGAAAGAGTAGACATAAAGAGTAGACAGAAACCAGATTTTTCAAACAAACTCCAGACAGAACAATGGATGAAAGAAGTCTCTTCAAGGTTTCTGTAACAGTAACATCAAATGTTACTGTTGACACTCTGAATGTAGCAATAGTTGTTATGCTAATTAGAGTGGTGTAGTTCTAGAAACTGGAACTGTGAAATGACCGTCTAGAAGGTACTAATAATCTTTTGATACCTGTATTTTTGCCATTCTTTATTATTATAATGAGAGTGTTATTGTGCAAGGGAGAAATCATATGTGTCCTCAATAAAGAATGAAGTAGCACAGTTGTTATCATCTTGAGAATCATATTCATTGAAAATCAAGTAGGCAACTCAAAGGTTAAGAGGTTTAATGTTCCTGAACTGTACAACTGAAGTACTACAGTCCAGGTTATTGTTAGCAATTATTCAAAGCGCTTGGGTGTTTTTATTAGAAACTTCCTTTTCCAGAAGAAAGTTCCTCATAACTTTAGCCAGCATTGCAGCGTGACCATTTAACAGCCACTCACTTCTACACAAAGTGCATCACAAGATGTTGTCATGACATAATTTGCTCCCAGCTATTTATATTCTGTGAGATAACCATCCTCAAACAATCTTCAGCCTCTCTCAAATATGAAAGATTTCATATTTGCAGTGAGAATTAGAAAGATTAAGAACCTCTGTATTTAGAGATTAATGTGATCTTCCATATGCATTCCTCCCAACACTTATTTATTTTCAGTTTTTCCAAGCACACAAAACAGACTTTACTAAAACAGAGAGTGTACTATAACCCTATTGGACTGTGTGATAGAAAAGCAATGAGCACAGAATAAATGTTATGTTGAAAGCATACTGAAGGAAATCAACCAATTGAGGGAAGAGAGGAAGCTTAGAGAGGAATTATAGATAGTTTAGGAGTGTGTTAAATGTAAAGCTGAACTTCACGTCTTAAGCACAGACAACAATAAAACATAATTGCTATAGATGTGGATGATCACAACATGGTATCCACAATTAACCTTTAAAAATAGGGTCCCTATTTTGGAAACATGCTGAAAAAGATGTGTATGAGCCTGAATCAGACCAAGGAACTTGAGAAAATGTTTGCAAGAATACTGCAGAACCTAGGAAATGCACCAACAGGAAGCCGACTATTTACTGAAAGGCCAAGATTTGGATTCTCTTGACTACTTTTTATGTCTTTAATCCCTCCAGGATATTCCAGAAACAACAAAACTGATGGGTGTTTTGTATTACTTCTCTTCCACTTGATCAGTCACAGCTGTGTTGTTTTCTTTGGGCCCTTAATAGAGGCTTATTTCCAAATACATGTACTATAGCATGGGTGTTCCCAGTCAGGTTCCTAAACTCACAGCCTTCTACTTCAGTAGATAATTTACAACCTAGTGCCTACGAATCAAGACCTTTCAATTGTAACCATGTAATCTGCTAACAGTGATCTATGGAAGTTACAGCTCAGATTCAATTTAAGCAGCATCAGTCTGGGTCAGCTGTATCTCAGCTCGATGAGTTTCTGTCTAAACTCTAGCAAAGACCAATCAGAGAGTGAATTCATTCCAGTGTAAGGATCCTCCCAAGGCACAGAAAAACCACTAAGCCAAGCCACGTGAGCATAGTTTCCTTGCCTTTATTGATATGCACATCATTCTAGTTATACTTTAGTAGTTCAGAATTTTGAAGCTTTTTTAACTTTTGCTGCAATGCGTGTGTTTGTGTTCAAAGTAGTCTCTTCATAGCAGTATCCAACAGTCTTTCCAGATCCTTTCAAACCCTTGTAAAAGAGGAAGTTACCAGTACCTTCTTGCACATTGGGCCCCATATAGAAAATAAACAAGTTTCACAACATCATTTGCTGGTCAACAAATCAAGCGTTTTAGTGATGGGTAAAAAATTTAGTTCCACAGTACAGTTCCCTCACTTTTTAACAGCATGTGATGTCTCAGAGTCAGCAGTTGAAGCCTCTTTGTTATTACACAGGGAAGGAGACTATCCCATGTGGCTGAGACGCACTTCCTTCAGGATGGATAAAATAAAGTGCAAAGAAGAAAATGGGTCAGAGCCAACATATGGAATGACACTCATCACCTTTACCAACATTTTCCCTGGTTTGCAGCTGCTCCAGTCAGGTAGCCATATAGGAACTCCTGAAAATGAGGTCCTGACCTCTCTGCACAAGTAACCTAGGAAACTAGGGTGACTCCCCAGGCTTGACTGTCTCTTGCGAAAAGCTCCTTCAGGTGCCTGCATTGGCCCTGCTGAGGGTGAGGGTTGAATGTGCTGGGCCTCAGCAGCACTGCACCAAGTAACAATGGTCTGTGATGAAGGGGACTGTGGTGGAGTCAATTTCCTCACTCAGTGTCACAAATCGCCAGTTTACAAAAAAGAAAATCTGAAAAAGAAAATAACTGTCTTGCTCTTCTAACTAGCTGGTTCCCCTGACCTCTGGCATGATCCCATCTCTGTCAGATTGACTCATAACCAGTTCTGCTCATCCAAGCCACAGCTGCGTCAAGGCACAGTGAGAGCCAATCAACCCCACCAACTTCATCTGTGTTTCATGACAGTTTAATCACTGAAGACTGTCTCTGTGTTGAAATTATTTCCTGTTGGGGTTTCGGGTAGCAGGATTGTATCAAGGCTAACTGAACCAAAAAGTGAAAAAGGCACTTGTCCTCATCCAAATCCTTTGGAGTTGATACAAAAACACCTCTTTCTGTGGTGTTTGCAGAAAGCATGCATATGTGTCATGAGCCCTCCACCTCATGCAGTCATAGTAGCTCACAATTCAGCTGTAATGGTTGTATTTTACATTCTTCTTTTTATTGACATCAGTGATAAGTTAGAGGATATAGCCTAGGAAGATAGTCAGTCTCACCATACACATCAGCTTTTGAAGTGAAGAAAAGGTAATAGACAGCGTGAACTGATGGCAAATACATTATTCTCTGGGCCATATTCACTCTGGTGACAATCAGGAATTACTACTGAGATATTCAGAGTTAGACTTCTCTGTAACTGGGCTGAGTTAGAAGAGAGTCAGAGGAACAATTTCTATTTCACCAGTGCCTTTTTCAGGTTATAATTCAGAGTGCATGGTGTCATATTTTCCTCTGCGTCATATTTTTATACCATCTGATAATATATGACTAATGTGGCTCAAATTGCTTTGTTGAGATTCACATAAAAAAAAAAAAAAAACCAAAATGAAGAAATAGTAGAATCAAGTACAGAACACTGCTAATGTGGGACCTGAGTGCTTTTGCCCTTCACTGAAACATCCAGAGATGCTTGTTCACAGTTTTTGTTAAAAATAGCTAATCAAACCAATATTATTAATATTGTACAAAAAAGTTGTCCTGTACACAATTAACACTGCTTAAGGAAAACACTTTTTTCAGCGATGTTACAAAAATTATGGGTTGTTTCACCCACCAGTTATTTTAACAGAGCTATGTTGTTAACACTGGAACTAAGCCATGTTTTCATAGTCAAATGATAGGCCTATTCCAAGGTCATGCCCACGCAGTACAAAGCCCACTGAGTGCTTCTTTGAAAAGTCTAAATGGAATTCACACTTCTTCAGGCAATCATTTTATTATGATCATATGAGTATTCACAATGTAATTTTTAAAGTCTTGTAAATAAAGCAGGTCAGTATCTAAGAGCAATCATTATATGTCACATTGAAAAGCTTGTGATTTCTGGCTTTCACTTCCAACATATAACATACCATACCACAAAATTAACATTTGTTACCTTACTCTGGCCTTTCAATAATGTTTCTGGGCTACAGTTTTGCAGAAAAAAAGAAAATCCACTTAAACATAATAGAAATCAAGATTTCACCTTTTCATACTGAGAGCTACCAACTCTCACATAACATTAATCATTATGTAAGCGTTGTGGGCCCTTTAAAGAAGGGACAGCAAAATGTCAGCGCATGAAGTCAGGATACTTCAGACTTCACTGGGTGTTTGGTTTTTAGCACCTGGTTTAGGCAAATTTAGACTAAAGCATGGTTGCATTCTCTTAAGCACCCTACAGAAAAATACCATAAGGTAAGTGCCTAATTGACTGGGTACCATACCCAGAGAAGCATTTAGTGTTTCTAGACTAAATTCAAAAGATTTCTCAAATACAAACCCCACTCCTGACAGGTTCAAACATGCTGCGCTTTTTTCCCTTTTAGTGAGCTGAGTGATGAAATAGAAAGTGTGCTTACTACAACCACAAATTCTATGATACTGCAGGGATTGCTGTCAGATTGGAGGACAGGCTCAAATTCAAATTGATCTGGAAAGCTGAAGAAATAGGCCTAAAAAAAAAAAAAAAAAGAAAAGATAAAATTTAATAGAAACACATATGAAGTGTTAAACTTAGGTAGCCACAATAAAACACAAGCAAAAGATGGATAAAAATTGGTTGGGAGCAGTTCAGAAAAGGAAAAAGGTGTTATAGTGGGTAACAGGCTGAATTAGTCAACCCTGTCGATATAAATCTTATAGACCAATTGGATAAATATGTCTCAAGGACAGCATGGATATGTTGAGTTGGCCTTCTAAGTCCCTTCCAGTCTTTTCTTTTGATTACCTTGGATGTGCATCTTGTCCATGGGGACTTTCTTGTCTAGAGGCAAGACAGTTTCTCAGACTATCCTGAGAAAGCAGCTCCAACAAATAGGCAGCAGGATTATTTCCAATATGTCTGACAGGGTCAAAAGCACCTCTGAAGGACAGCAGCCTTGTCATTTAGATGGTGTCCTGGTTTGGTTCATTATTTAGGTTTAGCTCATCACTGGAATTAAAGGCCAGCTTTTTTAAGGACTTCCATGGTATTACAAATAAGAAAAAAGAATTGCTTTCTTTTTATTTTTGAACACTGTAATTTATACATCCTGGTACCACAGTGCGCTGGCTCAAACTACATTGCATATATCAGTGCCATCTTCACATGAAAATTTTTATTCTTTTGTGACTCAAAATGGTGTGATAGCAATTGTGCTTGTGTGTATCACTGCATGCCAGGGAAAATGGGAGGGGCCTAGTTGGGTGTGTCTCCATCATTATTTTTTTGAATCTCAGGTTTCATAGCTGGGAAGTACAGAATTTATACAAATAAGTATCACTTATACGCATAACCATCATTTATACAGATCACCATCACAAAAAGATGAAAATATAAGTCCCTATTCCCTGGCACTGTGCATTAAATGCCAACAGTACATTAAGTTGACTTGGGAAGGAAAAGGTGGGGTCTGCCTTCTCAGAAGGGCTTACCATTTTAAAAGAGTCTTTTAAAAGAATCCATATAAAAAGATCTTGGTGGCTAAATATGCCATTTTTCATTTTTGTGCACACACAGATCAAGGGAAGGCTGCGAGTCCGTGGCTCATAAATACTTCTTAATCTCATTTTCTTTGGGAAGTGCTAAGATCTGGTCTCTTTTACTTTGCCTTCTTTTATTTATTTATGAACCCAAAGCCCGAGTTCTTTAGAAAAGGGGAAAAGTTGCTTTGAAGTTAATTTTAGATGTGAAAGCAAACCCTGACCACAAAAATGCTTTCAAAGGGTCACAGAACTGTCAGGAGATCGAGTTGTCCTGACATTTCCTAATATTGGGGATCAGGTCTTATGGGTTAAAAAATTATATTCTACAAATTAAACTTTGGGAGAAATCTTTCCTTTGCTGTTCTCAAGATTCCTACAACCAAATCCTCCAAGGGTGCCTCTGAACTTGCATTCATCACAAGTATGGCTTTGCATTTGTGGTGTTACAGCATAGACATCATGGAGATGGTTTTATCACTATATCCTAGATCCCTTTCCCAAGGGATTACCTGACCACCAGACCCATTGCAGTTAGGATGATGTTTTCCCAGCAACCTCTCCCTTCTGCTGTGCTCTTCTTGCAGCAGAAGTTCTTCTTGCCAGGAGCATTTTGGTGCTCTCCAGAACAAGCTGGAGAGCTGGATGCAACCAGGAGCTGTTTGATTCCATGAGCCAAAGATTCTTTTTCCTTCCAGTAGAAAGAAAGCTGAAGGCAAAACCAGGCAGAGGGGGATGTGTGAGCCCTTGCTGCCATCACAGCAGGCCTGCTCTGGCCTGGAGGAAGGGCAGGCCAGACAAGAAAATGGACCCTGCTGCTTTGGCTGATGCTGCATAAAATCATGTAGGATATACCCTTCAAAATTGAAGAAGATAGCATCCAAAAACAGAGCAATGGCAAGCTTTTTGGCACAGAAAGTTAAAAATATTGCTATATTAATATTTTATATGTGCATACACTTACTGCACTATGATCAAGACAGGCTAGTCTACGGCTGGAATAACTAATCCTATCACAGCTAGCATACAAACGTGAATATATTGATGTTTATATGACATTACACTCCAAAAGGGAGTTACTTGCATAACTATTGATGTCTTTTCATTCCAAGGTGCAAATGCCCTTGCAGAGCTGGACACTCAAAATTACTAGTTGTTTCTATGAGGCTTGATCACCATGACTTATTCTTATCTAAGTTTTGACTTCAAAAAATTCACACAGTCTTCTTCTTGGCATATTTTTCACCATTTCAATTTCCATGGCTCAGACCTTTAGAGACAGGGAAGCTCTTGTCATGTTCCCAATGCAAAGAGTCTCCCATATGGACAGGCTTTCCTCCTGGGACTGCCCAGGTGCTCTACCAATGAAGGAACCAAAAAAGCACCAAAATTTATATGTAACCAGTGGGCAAGAGTGGCAGGACCATGGCAAGGGGAGTGGATTGACACCTACTTTGGGGTGAGAAATGCTATGTGGTGTGTCCATGTCCACGCAGAGGATGGCTGTGGTTTCTGAAGCTTCAGGTGGGCACCCAGAGATACTATGACTTATGCTAGGAAGGACTTTGATGTGTTGTAATTTGGTTGCCTTCAGCATGGAAATCCTGGTTATGGTGGTTCTGTATTTTCATTTGAAAGCGTATTAAACCATTTTATTTTAAAGATCTATCAGATAAATGGTAGAACAAACCTTTGAGTGTTTGCTGGTAATGCATACTTTAGGTTACTTTATCTCTGGGAATGGGCCAAAGTGGTTTCTGTCTGTGTGTGTGCGCCTGTGTAATTAGCCCACAAATTCAGACACAGATAAAAATAACTAGGCAATGAATGTAAATAGCCAGGGCCATGATACCCATCGCTCTCAAAACAAGATTCCCATGCACTGAGAAAACACAGGGACTGTAAAAAGTTGGAGAAATCTCAAATTTCATTTCAATCTCTGGGATGAGCTGTGGGGAACATAGATACTCATAGATACTCCCTCACTTTGATACCTGTTTAAAAAGGAAAAAAGCAGAAAAGTTGGACCAATTTCCATGCATGAGGAAGTGCCTAGGACAATAAAACAAACTGCAGAGTCTAGGTAGATGTTAAGAAGGGTGGCCATGGTTTGCAGAAGTTTCTGGTTTGAAAGCAGCTCGCTGCTGTGGAGGACCTAACAGGGTGTGTGACTGTTCACACTACCCAAGAGCTCAAGGAAAGCCAAGCTCAGGTCATCTGCTGACAGAGAAAAATTTTATATCCCATCAGACTGCACAGATGAGAATCTGGGGCCATACTCAGGCATTTGGCTTCCTTTCCCAAGCACTTTGGGGACATCTTTTCCCCATGGGCCAGGCTTCAGGGCTTGCACCTCAGCTAGTGCCTGCATCACACAGACATTCCTTCCTGAAGCCAGCCAGTCCTGAGCATGCAGAGCAGCCTCCCAGAACCTCCACCCTACATTTTTTTCCTTCCCTGCAGCTCAGCCTGGTTGTGGCCACAGGTGCCTCCACAGTGCTGGGAGAAAGCTTCTGTAAACAGGTCGTCAGCCATCCTGTTCTTGTGTCACCTCACATGAACCAGGACACACTGTGGCAGTCCAGACTCCCACTGCCAGCAGTAGCCCCTGCTACTGTCACTGGGGTTGTACTGGCATTAGTAATGATGGCAAAATTCAAGAGCAAAGTCTGGAGGGCCAGCTCCTTTTTACAGATGCTTTCCCAGGATGAGGTCAGAGGAGCTGTAAGCAGCCAGCTGGGACACTTAGGTAGTATCACATGCTGCAGGGAGATGTGAGGGAATGGAAACACGTGGAAACATATGGAAACATGATACTATCAGAGAGACCTATGACTGTTTATTTAGTAGTGCAAATTGTGAAGCTGACAACACCCACCACCAGTCACAAAATAAAATAGAAATGTGTGGAAACTGTAAATCTTTCTGAGGACAATTGTTGTAAACACTTGTTAAGTTTTATTACTAAGAAGGACAAACATCATAGAAATTCCAAACATCTCTTTTTATTGCTCCTAGCCCTGTCTCTTCTCCAAAGCCTAGTCTGGAGCTCACCAAAGAAAGGACACACAGTGTCTTCCCCAGCTGCTTCTCATTCCACTATTTTATCCCCTTCACCTTGTTTTGCACAAGGAGTGACACTTCTTTTTGAATGCCAAGAGAAAAGACACAAACACTTTCAAGATAGATAACCATTACTACGATAAGAGGTAAGGTGACAGGGAATTTTAAAGCCAGATGCCTTATTTGATGATGGGGAGCCCATGATGGTAGGCTAGACTGGTGAGAGTGTGCAGCTCTGTATTCCCATGCACTTTGACACTGCCCAAATCATGGTACAGGTTCATTCATCTCTCATGGGAAGAGAGGCTGAGCCCTGACCAGCTGGGTGAATCCTTGACCAACCTGGTTTTCCAGTTATCCTGGAAATCCTATCACTCCAGTTATCCTGTGTTTCTACAGCAGACTGATTCCTGGCATCAGGAATGCCAGAGAAGTCAAGGCAGAGCAGCCTTTTCCTGCTGACTGAAGGAAGTCCCAAGAGCAGAGGGACTGGTCTAGTCTTTCTACATCAAAGTTTTCCATTACCTCCCTGCATGATCTGAGCCACAGGACCCATGTCACAGCTGGTGGCAGGGTACACAGTGAGCCCAGCAGGTCTTGTGGGAGGATGAGATTATGCATGGCCTATGGGCTATTCAAGGGTTTCTTCAGCCCTAGAGAGTGTGATGGGAACAGTGCTGAAATCCTTTGGCATCATTGATGGGACTAGTCAAAAACAACCCAGAATTTTCAAAGACTTTCAGTTCTGGGCTTTGAAACACAATCTATTTAATCAATGATTTTCCACCACAATAATCCTGAGTCAGTCCAGTGGTTCTTCAGGTTTACATTCAGCTGTAGTTTTTTTCTTGGAATGTAAACATCACTGATAGGAGAAAGGACATCTCTGGCTAATTTTTGAAAGGGAGAAAATTACTTTGTTTTCTCT